CCAGATATTTGGGTAGCAGTGTAGATCTTGCTGTGAAGGTATTTTTAAAGATGTGATTTAATATTTAAATCAGTAGATTTTGAGTAAAGCTGATTACCCTACATAATGTGGGTGGGCCTTCTAATCTGTTAGAGGCCTTAAGGAGAAAAGACAGATTCCCTGTCGAAGAGGGAGTTCTGTCTCCAGACTGCCCTTGGACTTGGGCAGCTCTTCCTTGTGTCCCCAACCTGCCCTGCAGATTTTGAACTTACCAGCCCCCACGATCACATAAGCCAATTCCTTAGCCTCTCTCTATACATCCTATTGGTTCCATTTCTCTGGAGAACCCTATTACATTTCCTAGACAGGGACTTCCCAAAGAAATCCACTAGCCAACACAGTTTAGATAAACACTGAATATCCATACTTCATCTCCAAGTTTTGAGAGCATATAGTCTGTATTACACATACCGATACTACACATACAACTCTGTCATAAACATTGTTGGGTAAAGTTTAACATTGTTGAACCAATTTCCAATTCTTCTGAATAGGTCAATGGAATTAAGATAGTTTTCTTCTTACAATGTATGCCCACAACCAGCAGAGTTAAGAATTTGGTAAAGAGGACCAAAGATAATCCATATATTCTGGCTCATTATGTAAAAAAGAATATGTTTATTACACTCGAAAAGATTTAAAAGAAAAAATACATATTATTGGAGATAATTAATTGGAGAGAGATGCTGTAAATGTAGGGAGGAACCCAAGCTTTTCGAATGTCTATCTTCCCTGTCTGAATCCTGATCTTCAACTGAACACTTTAACTATATTCCCTATATTTACTTTGATGGAAAAAATAGGGAATTACCTAACATTTGTCATGGAAATATAAAATAAATTGCTCTCAGAGCTATGATTTTCTTTGAGTCATTAACTTAAAAACATCTTACACACAAATAGTAGAATTATATTTCTCAGTTCATGGCACATGGTCATCATTGATCCATATAAAATCTTCTCTATGTTTGTTATTATTTATTTATTTTTATGCACATTCCCCAAATTCCGGTTTCCTTCCCTTCACTAAAGGCAACCCTTCTCATGTGTTTTGTATATATTTTTGGTTCTATATATTTTTGAAAAGTGTGTATTGTTTTCCGTGTATTTATTCTTTATTCAAAGTGAGTTGCTTTGTGCTTAACAGCTCCCTGTTACCATTTTTTTGCTCTTCAGCCTCTTTGAAAATGTTTATTTATTTATTTTGAGACAGAGAGAGACAAAAGCAGAGAGGGAGAGAAAATCCCAAGCAGGGTCTGCGCTGTCAGTGGGGAGCCTGAAGCTGGGCTCAAATCCATGAACCATGAGATCATGACCTCAGCTGAAATCAAGAGTAGGACACTTAACCAACTCAGCCACCCAGGCGCCCTCCTGATACCCCATTTTTAAATCAAGATTATGCTAGCCTAATAAAATTAGCTGAACAGGGGCGCCTGGGTGGCTTAGTCGGTTAAGCATCCGACTTTCGCTTAGGTCATGATCTCGCGGTTCGTGGGTTCCAGCCCCGCGTCGGGCTCTGTGCTGGCTGCCGGCTTAGAGCCTGGAGCCTATTTCAGAGTCTGTATCTCCCTCTCTCTCTGACCCTCCCCTGCTCACGCTGTCTCTCTCTCCTAGAAATAAATAAAAACATTTAAAAAAATTAGCTGAATAGCTTTAATCTTTTTTTCTATTTTCTATTAAAGCACATATGATAGGAGTTGTATACTCTTTGAATGTTTGATGGAACTCACCTGTGAAACCATGCGGGCATTAAAAAAATTTATTTTTATCAGATGCTATTAGCAACTTTTTTCATTTCTTCAATATTTACTGGTAATCTCAAATTTTTATTTCTTCTTTATGAATTGCGCTAGTTTAAATTTTTCTAGGAACTACCTGTCTCATCGAATTTTTCAATTTTATTAGCATAGACTCGTTCATTATACCTTTTATTAAGTTTAATATCTGTAATATCTGTAGCTATTCTCCCCCTTTCATTCCATATTTTGTTTCTTCATTTTATCTCCCCTTTATCCATCATCAGTCTTGTTCTAAATATGAATATCTTACAAATATTTTTTTAAGAAGCAGCTTTTGGTTTTGTGAATTTTTACTACATAGTTTTTGTTCTCTATTAAATTTTCTATTCTTATCTTTATAATTTCCTTCCTTCTTATTGCTTTAAGTTTTCTCAATTGCTCTTTTTCAAAATTTTGGAGAAATTTTGGGTCATTTATGTTTAACTTTTCTTGTTCTAATAAATGTACTTGAAGCTATAAAATTCTTTCTGAGTTCTGTTTTAACTGCACCTCATAAAATTTGATATCCAACACTTTTACAACCTAGTTCTAAACATGTTATTTTCTTTTATTACTGCCTTTTATTTTTTATTTTTTAAAAATGTCATTGCCATTTACCATTTATTATTACTATTTTTTAAGAGAGAGAGGGAGAGACAGTGTGTGAGCAGGTGAATGGGCAGAGACACAGAATCTGAAGCAGGCTGTCGGCACTGAACTGTCAGCACAGAGCCCGACGTGGGGCTTGAACTTGTGGGTCATGAGATCCTGAACTGAGCCAAAGTCAGATGCTTAACCAGCTGAGCCACCCAGGCACCCTATGACTGCCTTTTAAATCCAGGTTATTTATTAATACTTTCTTAGTTTCCAAACCATGAGAATTTTAGGTATCCTTTTGTTATCAAGTTCTACTTTTATTACAATATGGCTACAAAATGTAGCTTTTCTTTCAAAGGTACTGATACTTTGGAATCTACTGTAGTTTCCTTTACAGCATAATGCATATCCTGTTTTTACAAATCTTCTATGTGACTTGAAAATTTATTCACGTATATAGAGTTGTTTTTGTTAGACGGTGGTTTTTTTGGGTTAAATTTTAAAAATTGAAGTATGGTTGACACATAATGTTACATTAGTTTTAGGTGTACAACATAGTGATCCCACAAGTTTATGTTATGCTATGCTCACCACAAGTATAGCTACTATCTGTCACCATACAATACTATTACGATACCATTAACTATATTCCCTATGCCATACCTTTTAAATGAATCTTTTGAACTTCATACCTAATTTCCCTTTCTTCGTTGTTTTCACTACCTTGTAGCTCAGAGCCAATTGTCTTTTTTTTTTTTTTTTTAACCCATCTGTAGCTGGTTGATAAACATATATCCTGTAAAACTGGCTCTCTGGGAGAAAGAATTCAGACATGTAACATTCCTGGTTTCTGTAGAATAAATACTTCCATCACAGCCAATGTGAAGCTACCCATGGTTAACAAATGTCTTTCACAATTCCTGAACATTTTACAATTTGCTCTTGTTTGCCAGTATAAGACAGACCCAGTACTCCATTTCCTTTTTTTTTTTTTTAAGATATTCATTTTGTATTTTAGTTTGATCCCCCCTGGCTTTACTTATTTCATAGCTTTATTTTTCTCTCTGTTCCAGTTTTTTCTCCTCCTTCCTCTTTTTCAGTCGTGTCTGTCTCTGTGAACTGCTACAAGTCATTTTTGGAATGAGGGACACAAGACACAATTCTTTGACCAAAAAGAAAAATATAGCTTCCTAATTTTAAAAGGTTTAAATCTTAGTTCAGCTCTCAAAAAGTCCGTGCTCTGTGTCACGTTGTGCAACTCAGGGTCACCCGGTACTTGTGAGTTCCAACCTAGACTTAAAGAATCCCCTTCTCCAGCTGCTCCCTCATGTGGGAACCCTCCTAAACTATCCCGCCCACTGGGGCCTCATTTTTCTGGTTCCTCCATTCCTCCAGTCAGAATGATGATGTTTCTCTTGGCAATTTTGGGCACTGCAGCTTTATACCTGAGGCCTAACTTCAGGGCAAATCTGGCAGATGAAAGAAGGAAACAAATCCAAAGCTGCCCCTGGGGAGTGTTCCCTCTCCAAGTTTTGGCTCTCCTCATAGCCCACCTGCTTTTGTCTATTTTTCAGAGTCCTTCCGCACTTGCTTTTTGTCTGCTTTCCAGAGTTTCTAGTTGTGATCAGTGGAGAGATAAGCTCTTAAACTATTATTGGAAACTTCAGAATAAATTAAATATCATGGCTAGAGAGAACTCAAGTCTCTACAATTTTAGGTTTTTTCCCCCCTCCAATGAAACACATACTCCTGAGGGCATAGGATTGTTTTAGGGTACTCTGAATTTATATGAAGCCTGAAACCCAGAAAGAAAAGCAGACAGAAGCTTTCTGGGTAGCCTACTATGATTTCTGTTAAATATATCTCTTAACTGCTCACTTATTAGCAAAATGACATTGGACGTCCAAGCTATAAACCACCTTAGAAGTAGCTCAACATCTTCATTTGACAGAAGAGGAAATGAGGGCTCACAGAAGGGGAATGATTTGCCCTGTCACTCGGGAAGAGGGTGGCAAAGACTGGGCCGTAACTCGGCCTGTTTAACAACAGTTACTCAGGCATCTGGCAATAACTTCCTAAGTGTCAACTACTGTGCTGGCTAACTATTGCAGATTTTAAGGAAGACATGATATATGTTGCTTGAGGGAAATGGAAAGTTTTCTGTAGTGGGGAGGAAGGGCATATGGTAAAAAAAGAACTAAATCCCAGATTTCAGCTTTTGAATTGGCTTTGACTTTGGTCAAGGGACCAACTTTTTCTAGGCCTTCATCTGTCTGTAAATGGAAGTAATAGTCTAATCCATGTGAATTCTTTTGTTTGGGTTATAAGAGATAAGGTTTAGAAGCATTTGGCTAATACCTTGCTCAATGTTTTGATTGTTGTTATTCTTTGAAACTCACAAATCATCCAATTTTAAGCACTGGTCATGTATTGATCTTTAATGTGAATGAACATATTAAGAAAGGGTATCTAGAAATAGGGACATGGCACAAAATGAAGAAAGGGTATCTAACTTCCTGGAGGGAGGAAGCCTCCTCCCCTAAGCTTCATCTCCTTGAGCACTCATTTTCCATTGACCATACAAGGTTCTGGTCCCAAAGAGTTTATTACAAAATAAGGAAAGGAGGTCTAAGGAAGATTCACTTGTCATAGAATTTTGGCAGGTCATTACCCAAGATTACTTGATGGTCCACGCCAGCAGCTGTAATAGTGACCAGGTAGACGACACCCCCACTAGAGCCATCCCGGTTCATGGCCAGAGTGATAGCTGCAGAGGGTTTCAGGTTGGAGAGAAGGAGAGAGAATGACTCAGCTTCAGAAATCTTTTCCTTCCCCTCCTGTCCATAAGCTTACTACCACTTTCAGACCTCAAAACCCACCTTCTTGGGACACATATCAAGTGGTTTGCCAGTAAACCAACTTAAAAAAAATAAAGCCTTTCTTTATATGTAGCATCTCCTGGTGTTGGTGGTCTCAAAACTCCCACCACAAGGGATTTCGAGTTATGAATAGATACATAAGCAGCTTATGAATCCTTGACTATTTAACAATTGACTGTCATGAGCTAGCCCAAGCCCACTCTAGCACACCAGTGATTCTTAGAATAACTGCATATTCTAATTTGGGGTACTCAAATAAACAGTCCAGGTTTATGCCTTTGATTCTGAGGTCCTGTCTAGTGCAGTATATTGTCTTGCACTGTCCCTCTCAAAAGTGTTCCAGTTTGGACATTAAATTAAATGATCGCTCATGTATTCCTCATCGTGTTCCTCACACTCAACTTCCTTTCCGTGTTAAAAGCCCTCCCCAGGCACCCTTCCACTTGGTTAGTTACCTTTGGTGGCGAAAGACCTGCACTCCTCAGGAGACATGCCTGGTTTATATGCTGCATCCACATACCCGTAGATATAGGTGCTGCCAGAGCCACCAACGGCAAAGGGCTGCCGAGTCAGCATTCCTCCCAGGGTTCCATACACCTAGGGGAGGCGCCTTCAGGTCAGACTATGGAAGCATCGATCCTCTCCTTGCCAGTGAGGCAAGCAGCGCATCTCTGTGTTCTGCAGCGAAGCCCCACTGTCTCCTTCTCCCGTCCGTTGAGATTATACTATACTTTTAAAGGCAGTGTCCTTGGAACTCATTGGTAGAATGACATACGACTTCTATCTCCCTCTGTAGGGTAGCAGGGAACACCAAGGGAGGGAGTGCGTTGGGAGAGACTCACCTGACCCCCGTCACGTCGGTCCCAGCCAGCTACTATGAGATGTGCAGACAGGTCCTCCCGGTACTTATAAGAGACATTCCTTATCACGTTGGCAGCAGCTAGAACAAGCGGACATTCTTCCAGTTCCAACCTAAAGGAAGTGTTAGCAATAGGCGTCAATATGACTTCCTGAAGTTCTACCCTCCTGTGCCATTACCATCATCCCTGCCGAGGGACACTTGAAACCTGAGACCTATACCTGTAATAGTTCAAAGTCCAGCTTCTCTCCCACACGTACAGGGGACCAATCTCCCACCACCAACTGGTAAGAAAATTTCAGTGTTCCCCTCCTTTACTCTTTGCCCTACCCACCCATCCCCTAACTGTATAACTCTTGGCTGCAAGGGCCCTGCCTATGTGGATAAAAGTAGATAAGCTTTACTTCTGCACCAATGACCCTGGCATTTTACACGGTAACTGCCGGATGGTATGGTAGTCCACATCATCGTCTTCTTTCTCGTTATTTATATTAGGATAGTGATTCACAATTTTCAAGCCATTTTCACAGGGATCATTTGATTCTCAAAATAACCTTCGGGTGAGATAGGGTAGTTATTATTAATTATCTCCACTTTACAGAGGCAGAAACCAGGCTTGGGATTCAAGTGCCAGATCAAAGCTAATAAAAACAGGAGTCCAAACAAGAATTTTATATTGTTCACTGCAGCGCTCCTGGAATAGGATACTGTATAGGGGTTGCTGGTTGGGAGAACTGTAGTGAATGTGGACTGAGGACCCCAAAGCTTCATACCCGTGGAGCTCCAGTTGATAGGCAGCCATGTCTGCCATGGCTTGGGCATCAGCAGCAGAACCAGAAAGAGCACAGTAGATGTGTTGATGTAGGGGAGACAGCTTGTTATACACTCGGTTTACCACTGCCTCTCTGCCGGGAAGGAGTCAACAGTCACCAATATTAGTGTTGCCAGAATTCTTTTTTTTTTTTTTAATGTTTTTAATTTATTTTTGAGAGTCAGAAAGAGACAGCGTGAGCAGGGGAGGGTGCGAGCGAGAGGGAGACACAGAATTCAAAGACAGGCTCCAGGCTCTGAGCTAGCTGTCAGCACAGAGCCCGACATGGGGCTCGAACCCACAAACCGTGAGATCATGACCCGAGCCGAAGTTGGACGCTTAGCTGACTGAGCCACCCAGGTGCCCCATAGTGTTGCCAGAATTCTTGAGGTTAATCATACAGTGATTGTCAAATTTATTTGACAAGAGAACAGCCACTACAGAGCACATGAAATTTAATATTTGGATTAGAGCAGGAAGAAAAAATCATCTCAGATTAATTATTGCAAGTAATTATCAAAATTAGACTTATTTTCAGGCTTAGATTTTATAATAAAACAAAAAAAAAGTAAATTAAGAGTAATGTTCTTAAGTAATTTTTCTTTGCTATACCCATCTAGAGGAAGTTATGTGTTCTTTGGGACATAAAGTAAACAATATTGACCTAATCCCATATACCCATTTCGCATATGGGACCAGGAAACTGGTCAGGAGGGAGGAGACAAAATTAATTCAACATATACCGGATGAGAAGCTAGAATATCTGCTTGGCAGAACCATTTTTTTTCTTTCTATTTTATTTTATTTTATTCATTTCGTATAATTTTAGAGACAGAGCATAAGCAGGAGAGAGGGGCAGAAGGGGAGAGAGAAAGAATCTTAAGCAGGCTGAGGATTTGCGGCTCGACCCCATAACCCTGGGATCATGACCTGAGCTGAAAGCAGAGTCAGATGCTCAGCTGACTGAATCACCCAGGTGCCCAGAACCATCTTTTTTTATTTCTAAACATAGATGGAAGGAGGGCCCCTGAAATCTTTGTATCCTACCTCCTTCTCATACCCTTTTTTAATATAACCGCTCCTTTTTTTCTTTTTTGAATGTTTTATTTATTTTTGAGAGAGAGACAGAGACAGTGTGAGCAGGGGAGGGTCAGAGAGAGAGGGAGTCACAGAATCCAAAGACAGGCTCAGGCTCCAGGCTCTGAGCTAGCTGTCAGCACAGAGCCCTATGTGGGGCTCGAACCCACGAACCGTAAGATCATGACCTGAGCCGAAATCGGACGCTTAACTGACTGAGCCACCCAGGTGCCCCTCTTATGTACCCACTCCTGTAGGGATGGCCACATAAGCATTCAGGCTCCTGATTTCTCGTCCATCAATTTAGGGACCCAAGCACTTGCCATGTATCTCATGACAGGGATCTTTCTGAAAGGTTAACTCAATTTCTGCAAAATTCCACTGTCTCTTCATGAACGGGTAAGAAAAATCGGTTTTGGGGCCATTGGCTTCCTTCTAGAAGCATTCACTTTGACTGGTACTCACCCTGCAGACACCCGGGAGTCAGAGCCCACTACAACACCTCCGTCAAACTCCACTGCCATGATGGTTGTCTGTGGGGATGTGGAGGATGGGATGTCAGAGCAGTAAGAGTCTTGATTCCCTCATGTTACAGATGAAGAAACATTTCCAGAAAGGAGGTGACCAGCTGAAGATCATACAGTAATTCAGGCCAGAGCTGATTCCCAATATGGGATTTCCCCTCCATCTTTCCATTTTCTCTATTTCCTCTCCCAGCTGTAAGGGAATGTCATGGCATGATGGAAAGAATCACATCCCTAGGTCCCCAACTTCCTAAGTAGAATCTTTCCCAATTATAAAGAAAGAGGTGGGGATGAGGTCTGCAGAGGTAGAAATCTGGCTCAGAGTGGGAGGGCTTCCAAGCACTGGTGCCCCAGTACTTGTAGTATAAAGCAGCCCCACAAGTGAATTACTTCCACCACATGTGCTTGTTTCGTGTGCAGATGTGGTGCAGACCCAACACAGAGCAAGTGACTGTGACTTTGGGAAACAAGGTTGTCTTCTTTTGGCCCATAGTTCTCCATCCCACGCCCCCTTAACCAGTTTATTAAACAGCAGAAAACATCAAGGGCTGCAGTGATTAGCAGAGTCATACATTAAGTAAGGAGGGAAGCAGGCAGGAGCATGAGATGATTTAACATAAAGCTTTCATTTAAGGATTTCTGATCAAGAGGTCAGCCCATACCTCACTAGTTAGGGGAAGAGATCTGTACTGGGACGATTTGTTTGGGGAGTTTGGGCTGACTTTTTCAGGTCAAGGAAAGACATTAAGAAAAAGAATTCAGGAAGGTGAAAGGAATAAAGCTATACGTTTTCTACTCCTGTTGAGTTGGAAAGAGCCCTAAAGATCCTTGGTTCAAATAAGGAAACGGAATCATAGAAGAGGCAATTGACTTCTCAAGGTCACCCAGATTAATACAGACTGGGATTAAAACAAAGGTCTAACCTCCATCTCTTGTTGTGACTTCTGTTTTCTACTTCCCACCGCTCATCAGGCAGGGAGGGGAGTTTCTTTTTTTTTTGTTTTTTTTTTTTTTGTTTTTTTTTTACCTTATAAATGGGTTTAGTGCATTCTCATCATCCCATAAATTATTCTGGACCCCGGGGCTGTTGCCCTGAGTGTGCTTTCAGACATACTGACTTATCATGAAGGGAGGGCCACTGAATAAGGGCAGCCCCATTCTAGAGGTTATTTCTCGAAGACAATGCTGCCTTCAAGCCAAGAGTGGTGGCAGTAGTTTGGAAGCAAAAGCCAGCCAGCCAGCCAGCCTTGGGCAGTGGACAGCTTCGGTTGCCTAGCCTGGGCAGGCGGGTAGGAGTGTGCAGGGACGACCCAAGGAAGGGAGCACAGCAGCACCTGGGCCAAGCAGGAGCCTTCTTGGATCAGGCTGGTGAAGGGCACCACCAGCTCACAAGGAATCCCCATTATCAGGGCGGGGGTATGAGTTTCGCAGGGGCCAGTTTATCAAAGTGAGCAGTCCCTTCTCAATCAGTGCCCATATTCTCCTTTCCCAAGTGCGGTTCTACTTCCCCCAGGGCACCATTTCTTCATTCATCTGCACCTTCTCCGACCCCTTCCCTTGATTTAACCAGCCCCTCTCTCTAGTCCAGAGTTGAAAGCGAAAGCGCTTCAGAGAAGCTTCCCCTCGACACTTCCAGCGAAGAGCCAAAGCACCTCCTTCTCCACCAGCCTGGCGCGCCCAGTCCTTCGCGGACCCCTGCACGACCCCCTTCAGAATAGAGATGCCCTGTATTCATCGCAGGGCATCTGTACAAGCACTGGCTGCTACAATCTACCTCCTCACTCTGTTAGACACTACATTCATTCCTCAGAGCTTCCAGGGTCCCCCTGTCGCTCCACCTTCTTGACTCCTCTGCTAAGTAAACTCCTAGCACAGACTACTTACCCCAGTGTGGACTTCGTCAGACCGCAGCATCTCTGGGAGGCGCCAAGCTCTTTGCCGCCTGGGGCACTGGTTTCCGTCCTGGGACGTGGGCAGCGCACAGCCTGTATAGCCCCGCGCCTTCACTACGACCGCTAGAGGGCGCCGCGTCCTTTGGTGCGGCTTTGCACCCCGCGCTAACCTACCTGCGGCAGAACTGCCCAGAGACAAGTGACGAAAAGGTCTGGGGCTAAGAAAGTCCGAAGGCTGGGGTAAATAAAGTCCCGACAAATGGGGTCCGCAAGAGGTAGCAGTGAAAGGAAGGACGAGTGTGCGTGATGGAGTAGGCGGAGCCTCAAGGCTTCTGGCTGCAGAACCTCAGATGGGATTCCCACGCCTTCTCCCAAAACAGTCTGGGCGGGCCGCAGGCTGAAGGGGGCGGATCGACAGAGCCGCCTACCGCTTTCGCTTTCTCTTTCCGAGAAACCGCAGGCTTCTAGCTAGCGCCGCCTGATCCAGCCCTTCCCGGGACTTTCCAAAGCCCCGCCTCCGCCCGCCCTTCCCTCCTCTCCCCGCGGCGGGTGCCGGAGCCCTCTCCCACACGGACGCGACCGGCGCCCAGAGCCTCCCGCGCGGCGGGGACAGCGGAGAGTCCCAGGCGGGGCCGCGACCCCCGGCAGCGACAGCGCGCCCATGGCCGGCTCTGGGTCCCCCAGGCCTTGCGGGTGCCTCTGCCCGTCCCGAACTTCCGTCGCGTGGCTGGGGATAGCGCTGCTGGTTCTCGTCGACTGGGTGCTGCTCCGGGGCGCGCTCCCCAGAATCTGCTCCTTGCTGATACCCCCCGCGCTGCCGCTGCTGCGGGTCTGGGTGTCGGGCCTGAGCCGCTGGGCTGTGCTGTGGCTGGGGGCCCGCGGGGTTCTCAGGGCAACGGTCGGCTCCCGGAGCGAAAGCGCAGGAGTCCGGGGATGGCTGGGTGCTTTGCAGTCGTTGGCGGCGGCGCTGAGCTTGGCCCTGCCAGGACTCGCCCTCTTCCGAGAGCTGAGCTCGTGGAGGGTTCCCAGGGATTCTCACAGCTCCAGGCTCCTGCACTGGGGAAGTCGCCTGGATGCCTTCGCCCTCAGTTATGTAGCAGCACTGCCTGCAGCTGCCATTTGGCAAAAGCTCAGGGGACTTTGGGGGCCGGAAAGCCACGGGGGTTCAGGAGGGGCGGTGCGCCGGCTTCTAGGTTGCCTGGGTTCAGAGATACGACGCTTCCCGCTCCTGATGGTCCTGTGTGTCCTCTCCTGTCTTGGTAAGAGGGATGCAGGGAAAGAGGGACGGACAGAGATCGGCTAGTGTGGGTTCTGGGAAATGTGGATCAGGGGAGGGCGACCCAGCTCTGGTCGTGAGACCACCTAGTACCCAGGAAAGGGCCCTGGACTGGGTGGGAGTCAGGAGTCCTGGACTCCAGTGCTGCCTCAGTGTTGCCTCACTGGCCACCTTGGGCAAGTCCTTTCTTCTGGACAGCACACCCTATGACCTCTGGCCTTCCTAAGTAAACCCCAAAGGTCTGGTGGGGCTCAGGGTTGTGAGTTCCAGGGTGGCCTGTTCAGGGGCGGAGCTGTGTCCTCTGTCCGCTTTTTGCTGGTGCCCTCAGGATACTGGTGACAGTCAAAGAGGGGGATGGGCTGGGGGCAGTCTGGTTGGAGCTTATCTGCTTGCTTGGCTGACCCGTCCCTCCTTTCTCTCTCCAGGGGAGATGGCCATGCCGTTCTTCACGGGCCGCCTCATTGACTTCATTGTACAAGATAGGACAGCTTCTGGTTTCATGACATACATACTGCTCATGTCCATTCTCACCATAGCCAGGTCTGGGGGCTGAATGAAGAAGGAAGGTTGAGAATGGGGGGGGGGCAGAAAAAGGGGGAGATGGAAGTTGGGGCAACTGTCCAAAGTGCACTTTTTGGGACCTTCTCTCTGTCCCCTGAACACACCCTGATTCCTCTTCTCCTCATCTCTCTCTAGTGCAGTGCTGGAGTTCGTATGTGATAGGATCTATTACAGCATCATGGGCCGTGTGCACAGCCACTTGCAGGGAGAGGTATTTCAGGCTGTTCTGCGCCAGGAAACAGAGTTTTTCCAACAGAACCAAACGGGTGTGTCTTGAAACTCTTTCATTATACATCTATATACTCCCTATATTACCCATATATCCTCTTTTACTTACAACTTTGATCTCTCTCCCACATAGACATTGTCATTTCTAATTCTTGGTATGCCTCAAGAACAAAATATTATTATATTATACATATCATATCATATTTATTATATTATAACTATTATATTGTATTCATCATATCATATCTATCATATCATACTATATTCTGAATTTTTTCCATCTAAGATTTTTCCATAATTTATCCCCTGAGTGTATATTTAGATAGAAACTACAGAATTTCAAGCCTGGAAATTTTACGATCACAGAGTCCAACTAACTATTTTACAGAGAAGGAAACTGAAGCCTGGACCCTAAATGCTGAACCTGGCATGGTCATATATGGATAGAAGTGAGCTTTGGGATGGAACTTGTCTCCTGATTCCCAGCCCAGTGCCCAGTATTGTTTTCAGGACTGCTTTCTAGCAGCACCCTTTGTTTTTCCCCAGCTCTGTTATGTGACCAGCTTAAGCTCTTCTTGCCTTTATATGCAGCATGGGGTATACATGTTCTTTAAGGAACGAAAATTTGTCAGAGAAATGGAAATTCACATGGGCCTCAATTTCTTTATAGTTAAAATGGAAGTCTTCAGTCAGGCTTTCCCATTCTTTCTCTCTTTCTTTTTTCCTTCCTTCCTTTCTTTCTTAAATGTTTGTTTACTTTTGAGAGAGAGAGAGAGACAGAGCATGAGTAGGGAAGGGCAGAGAGAGAGGGAGACACAGAATCTGAGGCAGGCTCCAGTCTCTGTGCTATCAGCAAAGAGCTCTATGTGGGGGCTCGAACTTGCAAAGCTGTGAGATCATGACCTGAGCTGAAGTTGGATGCTTATCCAACTGAGCCACCCATGGGCCCCCAGTCTTTTTCTTTCTAACACTCATTCTCCCTGCACTGAAAACCCTAAGCTGCCCTATCCCCCTTGCCTTGTTTTCCTCAGCTCTTCAGAACACTGTGTGGTCCCCTCGTCGCCTCCCCCTGGCTCATTGCTAGTCTGTCCCACCCCTCTGAGCCTTTCATTGATTCACTGTCTTCTCCCCAACCCCGGCAGGAGCCATCACTTCTCGGGTGACAGAGGACACATCCACCCTGAGTGAGAGTCTGAGTGAGGAGCTGAGCCTATTGTTGTGGTACCTGGTGCGGGGGCTGTGTCTCTTGGTGCTCATGCTCTGGGGGTCACTGTCCCTCACCATGGTCACCCTCGCCGTCCTGCCTCTGCTTTTTCTTGTGCCTAAGGCACTGGGGAAATGGCACCAGGTATGTCCAGGGAGATACCTCACCCTACACAGACCTTCATTTCCCAGACTAGGCAGAATTAATTCCCTCAGGGTTCTCTCCTGGGACCCTCACTTGATTTTCCATCTTCACGGGACTCCTTGGCCATATAGTTCATGTTCCTGGATTGCTCAGTGTTGAGCTCCATATTCTGTGTGTATTGTCTTGTAACTTCTGCCCACAATCTGTCTTTACAAACATGATTACCAGCCTCAAGATTATGATTCCTTCGACCCTTCTCAGTGACCTCCTCTCTTGTGTGCCTCTTTAGTATCTAGGGAGTGTAATGATGCCCCCTTCTCTTTTCTTCATTCACCTGCCTCTTCTCACCTTTAGTCTCCAACTAGGTAACTCAGGCATTAGTGTCCCTTACGGTTCGCCAACCCTGTGTGACATCTCTTGTCCATGTCTCTACAGGCGCTGGCAGCACAGGTGCAGGAATCTCTGGCAGAGTCCAGCCAGGTGGCCATTGAGGTTCTGTCAGCCATGCCCACAGTCCGGAGCTTTGCCAACGAGGAGGGTGAGGCCCAGAAGTATAGGCAAAAGCTGCAGGATATGAAGACACTCCATCAGAAGGAGGCTCTGGCCTATGCAGTCAACCGCTGGACCACCAGTGTGAGCACCTGGAGATGAATGCCTAGTCCCTTGTCCCTGAGAGGCCTTGACTCCATTCCCTTTTCCGTGACTCTGTTCCACACTCTTCCACTGGGCAATGGTTGCTTCAGTATTGTCACCCTACTCAGTGTTCCTAACTGCCTCCCTTTTTTTAGGCCTGCTGGATGGCATCCTTTCACCAAGGTACACAGAATCCAGCCAGCCCCCTTTTGAGGGAGATCCACGTTTTCCAGTCCCAGGGCCTTTCTTTGCCTCTCAGGCAGCACTCAGGGAACCATAAATTCCTGTACCTGGTCCCGCATCATTCTGAGACTCTGTGAATGTGCTAGCAAGAGCCATGGGAATAGCAGAAGCCTGGGATAAGGGGCATCTGTTATATAATGGAAAGAGAACTAGAGCAGCATTTGGGAATTCCTGGCTTGATGCTGCCATTTACTAGCTTTTTGACCATGGGCTAGTAACTTACTTTCTCGTGAGACCATTTCCTCGTTTTAAAAAGTGGGAGTGGTATGACCTTGTCTACAGGGTTGTTGGTATGAATTTTAGATGGCATCACATTCATGAAGGCCTTTTGTGAAGAGCAAAATGTTCCTTGGAAGCGATAACGGTGATGGTGATGATAGTGATGATAACCGAGCACGACTCCATGGAGCCTCCGTGCTGCATTCTTCCCTTCCCTCTGGGGAACCTCCTGCTCTTACCTGGGGGAAAGGGTCTTTATATCTTCATAATGACTAACGAGTCTAGTTCCTTGCACCTCCCTTGAGATATTTCAACCACAATCCTTTTTTTCTGTGGCCTTTCCACAGATCTCAGAGATGCTGCTGAAGGTGGGAATCCTGTACATAGGTGGGCGGCTGGTGACAAGTGGGGCTGTAAGCAGTGGAGACCTTGTCACATTTATTCTCTATCAGATCCAGTTCACCACAGCTGTTGAGGTGAGACCCTTCCGTTTTCATTCCCCCGTGCTTTTCCATCCCATGTTCTGTCACCACCTGTGTCACCTTCCTTCCATGCTTTACCCTTCTCATATCACATAACCCTGGCAAATAGATTAGTTCTCTCCCTTCTCAATACTCTTATCCCCCCCCCCCCCCCCCCGCTCCCAGGCACTGCTCTCCACCTACCCCAGCGTACAGAAGGCTGTGGGCTCCTCAGAGAAAATATTTGAATACCTGGACCGGATTCCTCGCTGTCCTGCCAGTGGTGTGTTGACTCCTGTAAACCTAGAGGGCCTTGTCAAGTTTCAAGATGTCTCCTTCGCCTACCCAAACCGTCCAGATGTCCCAGTGCTGCAGGTACAACCTACCGATCCTCGGTGTTCACCAGCCTCACTCTCGACTCTGCCATGCTAAACTTCCTTCTTGCCTTCAGCCTGCTTAACACAAGGTTCAGGTAGAGCCTTCCGAACCCTCCAAAGGCAAAGATGAGCACTGTCTACTCCATACAACTGCCCCAAACTCAAGAGCTGGTTTGAATTTCTAAGGAGAATTGAGAAGAGGCTCTCAGGGGGAAGGGTCTCATATCCTAAGAAATTGCTGAAGCAAAATCTATCTCTAGTCTTCTTTCTTTTTCTTTCTATTTGTGATTTAGACTGTAATTTTCTTTTCTGTTTTCTCATGATATGTAATACCAGGTGTGTGGTATACCAGTGCTTGGTCTTCACTCTGGTTTTTGCCTCACCTTTCGTCTCTACCCCTTGGGGAGCTGTCTCCCTGATGAACAGAGGTCTATGCCTGTGGGAGGATAGGAGTTGCTGTATTTCCCCAATTTCCCCCCTTTCTTCTCTGGGGTAAGACATCATGCTATGTAAGGAGACAATGACAGACTAAAGGTTAGAGTCTCAGTCTGCCTCTTTATTTTTGATTCTCTGGCTTCCAGGGGCTGACATTCACCCTGCGTCCTGGTGAGGTGATGGCTCTGGTGGGGCCCAATGGGTCTGGGAAGAGCACAGTGGCTGCCCTGCTGCAGAATCTGTATCAGCCCACTAACGGGCAGGTGCTGCTGAATATGAAACCCCTTCCCCAATATGAGCACCGCTACCTGCACACACAGGTAAGCAAGAAGATGGCATGGGGGAGGGCAGGGGGCATTGAGTGAGAAGAACTCTCAACGATACTCTTACCAAGCACTCCAAAAGGAAGGCTAGGGAGTGATGGTCCTTGAATGGAGATGGGATGTGGTCGGGAGAGGGGCTCTGGTGTGTAATTTTGTGATATGCCTTCGGTAAAGATTTTGAGCCATCAATCTCTAGATAACCACACTCCTGTGTCCCTTGTTCTATGACTCTTCATCATATTTTGTCCCAGGTGGCTGCAGTGGGACAAGAGCCACAGCTATTTGGAAGGAGTTTTCGAGAAAATATTGCCTATGGCCTGGTCCAGAAGCCAACTATGGAGGAAGTCATAGCTGCTGCAGTGGAGTCTGGAGCCCATAGCTTCATCTCTGAACTCCCTCAGGGCTATAACACAGGTGCTTTCTCAGCTCATGTCATCACCCAGACATCTTTACTGAAACCTTTATTCAGTAGTTCTTCCCAACCCACTGAAGTTTAAAGGTGTAGGATCTTGTTCCTATGGCTTCTTCATCCTCACATCCTTAGAACTTCTTCACCTTCCCAGAAGGAAGGTGAATGCATCCAGTCCTTGGTGTGTGTGTGTGTGTGTGTGTGTGTGTGTGCGTGTGCATATGCGCATGTACACGTGCAAGCAAGCACGTGGACGTACATGTGGTTGCCCAGCCCTCACCTGGGCTCTTATCTCTACAGAGGTGGGCGAGGCTGGGAGCCAGCTATCAGGGGGTCAGCGACAGGCAGTGGCCTTGGCTCGAGCACTGATCCGGAAACCACGTGTACTTATCTTGGATGATGCTACCAGTGCCCTCGATTCAAATAACCAGTTACGGGTGAGAGAGACATTTTGTTAGTGACTATATCCCACCCAGTCTTCCTTCCTTCACTCATCCTGTGTGAGCTATACTAACATAATTATCCAAACCAATCCTTGGAATTCTCAGTTCCCAACAGCTGCTCTTCAAGATGCTTAGAACCAATTCAAAGAGACTATCTATAGACTCAATCTCTGAAGCCAAACATAAGAAGACCATCCTAATAAGATTAGTATCAATTGAGCTTTTGCTCTTTTACTGTATGCCAGACATGCTACCAGGCTCTCTCCATGTACTGTCGCACTCATTTATTAATCATAAATGCCTGTGAGCTGGGCATTGTTATCCTCATTCTACAGATGATAAAATAGAGGCTAAGAGAGGTTGAGTGACCTGCTAAATGTGAGCTGTTGAGTAGTGGAGCGTAGACCCAAAAGCAATCCTGCCTGACCATGCTCATGCTTTTTGCCACTAAGTTATATTTCTTTAAAATGGAATAGAAAACCCCCAGTTTATAGGTAGAGAGGAGAGACTATTTGATGTCCTTTACTCTTTCTTTATGGGCTTCACCATAGGACGCTTACTTTTATTCTACTGTTGCCACCTCATGTAAACAGTCCTTAACAAATCAAAGGTTGGACAGAGAAATACTCAGAACAAGAATCTTCAACTCTTTGGGGTTGTTGGTAGAGGTGGCAGTGACCCTGGTGATTCCTGCTCTGGAAACACGGATGTCTCCCTGGGTTCTTGACAGAATCCGTGTCTTTTCTCAGGTGGAGCAGCTCCTGTACAAAAGCCCTGAGCGATGCTCTCGGTCTGTGCTTCTCATCACCCAGTGTCTCAGCTTGGTGGAGCAGGCTGACCAAATCCTCTTTCTAGAAGGAGGCACCATCTGTGAAGCAGGAACCCACCAGCAGCTCGTGGAGAGGAGGGGACGCTACTGGGCCATGTTGCAGGCTCCTGATGGGTCAGGTGCTCCAGAATGAAAGACTTCTCAGACCTGCACATGCCACCTCCTTCCCTTCTTTTCTGCCCTCTGTAGTGGAGAATTTGGGAACAAAGGTGTTACCGGAGCTGCACAATAGGCAGTTGCTTCTAGGAGTGACCTCTTAGAATGATGCCTGAAATTATGCCACGAGTGTTACCACCTCTCCAAGCTCCTCTTGATAATGTGGATTTCTTGGAAGAAAAGAGTTTGTAACCCCTTAGTGTAACTGGGTTTAGAACCAGGGTTGTTGTGGATACAGCCCTGAAAATGAGAAGAACTTTAGAATACACAGAGAAAATACTTTCCAATAGGACTACAGGCATATGCTGGCCCATAAACACACTCTGGATCCTTGATATTTATAATAAAGTTGGTGTTTTATAACTGTGGTTTCTCCTGTTATCAGCGCACCAAATGGCTCACCAGCATTTGCACACTTCACAGTCCTAAGTGTGCCATACCCTCCCTTAAGTTTTCTGTTTCTTATGGTTGCCCCTCCACTACCCCATGCTCCCATGTCTGCGCCCAAGGATAAGCGGGAGTGGGATACAGCACCCTCCAAGCACCAGCAGCCGCAGCTCCCAACTGCGAGCCATGGCCTTTCTGATGTGGAAAATGGAGGGCGAGCGCAGCTAGAGGAAGTGCAAGCGCGCAGCCAGAGAGCTCAGAGTTTACCACCGGCCCCTCCCTGGTCTTTTCCTCCAGAACTCACCCGGCTCAGAGGTGGCACCTGCCGGGGGTAATTTCAGCCCAGTGCGGGCGGGGGGGGGGGGGGGGGGGGGGGGGCGGGGAGAGCGGTTTAGTAAATTTCTTCCATTCTGGGAGGGCCATGGTAGTGTGATGTTAACAGTTGCCGGGTAGTTTAGGCCAACACAGGTTGCAAGGAGAGACAGGGTTTAGTTAGAAGAGTTTCCCCAAAGTGCTCAGTCGATCGGGAGTGGTGTGAGGAGCTGTGTGCAAAAAGGGTGGTTCTTTCGGGTGGCTATAGGTTAGGGAGATAGAACCGGGAGCGGCCCTGAGGGACAAAGTCGAAAGATTCAGAGACCGAGCCTTCTTCCCCCAGACGCTGCGGGTATATGCCGCTGCCGGCTGCCCCAGAACCGGTCCTCAAGACTCACTGCCCCCACATCCTCCTCTTTGTCCGACTCTTATAAAATGATGCTCCTATGAACACCCCAACTCCCGGAGGTGAAACTGTCCCCGGCTTCTTGCTGACTTGCAGCTTTCTGGTTGAAGCTAAGCCTTCAAGACCATACAACCCCATACCCACTTCGTAAGTGTTCCAGAAGATGCCCTGCGGCGTGTCGGTGTCTACTGTAATCTCAGCGCCAACAGGGCTTTCGAAGCCTCTCCCTCTCTTTCTCCTTTTCTTCTGACAGCCTATCACCCCCTGTTTCCTCAACCCCTGTAAAGCCGGCGCAGAGAAACCTCTTCCTAATATTCCTGGTCTCCAGCCACCTACTAGCCTCTTCTTGGAAAGGGCAGGGGGATGCGGAAAAAATTCTGGTTCCCTCCCCTTGAGGCTGAGGGCTTTCGCTTTCGCTTCCCCTTCCGACACATCTCCGGGTCCTAGGCGATTATGGCGCTGCAGGAGGTGTGCGGGGCCCCCCGAGGGCCGAAGAAGGATTGCGCCTTCCCCGCCCTGGGCAGCCAGCTTCGCTCGGACCCCGGACACTACAGTTTCTCTCTGCGATCTCCGGAGTTCGCCCTCCCCCGAGGAATGCAGGTCAGGGCTGTCAGACAACCCCCCGGGGCGGGGGACGGGCCCGAGGGCTCAGGGGAATGGAGGGTCTCCCGTGAGACTCCCTAGAGGCCAGGAAAGCCAGAGGAGGCCATCCTTCAGTCAAGGAGAGCCGCATCCAGGGCCCAGTGCCAGGGCGGGGGCCACGTGGGAATCAGGGGCTGATCGCCTGAGGGTTAGAAAATACAGATTAGGGCAAAGAGTTAGAGGTGTGGTGGAGGGAGACCAGAGAGCTTTCCTGCCAGTTCTCCATCACACACAAATCACGAAGCCTTTTGCATGGGGCTATCGTATGCTATAGGGGCCGTGGAGTGTCTTGGAAACCGGGTGAACTGTGGCTGGTGGCTTCCTCTCAGCCATTCAACTGTTGTGTGTCTTGGCTCAGTCACTTAGTCAAGCAAGGTCTGGGGCATCGCTTCTGTAAAATGGGGATATTATTAATAACACCCATCGTGGGGGTTAAAGGACCTATGGATGGGGAAAAAACCACATTAAGTCCACTCTTAAAATGTTTAATTACAGCTAACATTTATTTCCTTTCCTATCTATCGTGCTGGAAAATGGGAAAGGTTGGTGTCACGTGCTTCTTTTCCCAAGCCATTTCCTCATAGAGATTGGTTGTTAACCGTTACAGTTATTGATGGTTGGAGAATCTCTGCCTATCTTCTCATTCCCAAACTCTCCTAAGCCCTTTCCTGGAGCCCCATGAAAATTTCAGTGCCCCGTTCTCTGCCTTTTCTTTCTTATTAGCCCACTGAATTCATCCAGTCCCATGGTCGGAATGGAGAAAGGAACGTTCAGATCGAAATGGCCCACGGCACCACTACGCTGGCCTTCAAGTTCCAGCATGGAGTGATTGTGGCGGTGGATTCTCGGGCTTCGGCTGGGAGTTACATCAGTGAGTATGTGTGTTCCAGCAGGCAGAATCTGGGAGGCTGGGTCCCCCTCTCAGCAGGAGCCCAACATCTACACCAGGGCAGAAGCAGATGCTGATTTTGTACACGCAGGGAGAACTGCAGAGGTTAGTCCTCCTCTCTCAAAACTTCATCTTCTTCCAGGCACCTTAAGGTGTAATAAGGTGATTGAGATTAACCCTTACCTGCTTGGCACCATGTCTGGCACTGCAGCGGACTGTCAGTACTGGGAGCGTTTGCTGGCCAAGGAATGCAGGTATTCAAGGCCTCTTATCTCCTTCCTAAACCTTTTGGTCAATCCTGGATTCCAGAACCTCCAGATCACTGCTCCTCATCCTTTCCCCCTGTGCTAATGTAGCATCTTGGTGCTAACGTAGTATTTCACAAAACAGCATTTTGGTGATAAAAGCTTTCTCCCAAATCTCAGCCTATGCTCCAGCCAGTAAACCAGATAATTCGTCAGTCATTTAGCCCCGGCATCATCAATCCTGGTGGGACAGTATCATTTACTAGGATTTCTTTATGTGGTTTAGATACTTTAAATCCCAAATCCCTCCCTGATCCTTAGATCCTATAAAATCATCCCTCTCAAATGCTTATCTCTTTAATCATTTCCTGTGCATCCAGTGGGTTGCTCAGAGATCTAGCTTTCTGCCACCTGTGAGTCCTCTGCCCCCCACTACCCTGTTGTACCCAGGCTGTACTATCTGCGGAACGGGGAGCGTATCTCAGTGTCGGCAGCTTCCAAACTGCTCTCCAACATGGTGTTTCAGTACCGAGGCATGGGCCTGTCCATGGGCAGTATGATCTGCGGCTGGGATAAGAAGGTGGGTGCTTTCCATTTTCCATATTCCCTCTTGACGGACGAGAGACCAGGTTCCCCATCATATGCTCCCACTCCCTGCCCTACAAGATGTGTGGTGCATAGAACACTGTTATAGAGCTGTTCCAACATATCCATGGGCTGTTTCTGGGTCCAGACGTGGACCATTGTTTGATAAGCTTGTCCTTTTCAATAAAATAGCTGATTCCAACTTTTTTTTTTTTTTTTTTTTTTTTTTTTTTTTTTTTTTTTTTTTTTTTTTTTTTTTTAAAATTCTTTTTTTTGTTTTTTTTTTTTTTTTTTTTCACTCTTTTGGCTTACACTTGAACCTGTATGTTACTAAAAACTCGCTCCCCAGTTCCATCCTGGAACATTCTTGCTTCCTATAGGGTCCTGGACTCTACTATGTGGATTCANAGCTTGTCCTTTTCAATAAAATAGCTGATTCCAATTTTTTTTTTTTTTTTTTTTTTTTTTTTTTTTACCCCTGAAGTTCTAGGATTGTTACTAAAATGCTATCCTGCGGTCATTCTTACTCTTTTGTCCACTCTTTTGGCTTACACTTGAACCTGTATGTTACTAAAAACTCGCTCCCCAGTTCCATCCTGGAACATTCTTGCTTCCTATAGGGTCCTGGACTCTACTATGTGGATTCAAATGGGAATCGGCTCTCCGGAAATATGTTCTCCACTGGCAGTGGAAACACCTATGCCTACGGGGTCATGGATAGTGGCTACCGGCCAGATCTTAGCCTCGAAGAGGCCTTTGAGCTGGGCCGCAGGGCTATTGTTTATGCCACCCACCGAGACAACTATTCTGGAGGCGTTGTTAATAGTAAGAGACCAATTCTATCACTACCACACTCCTGGGTGGGGAAGGGGATTTTGAGATTGGGAGAGTCAGGGGAGGCAGAGTAGGGAGGAGCTTTGCAGCATGGGAAGAGGGGCACTGAAGTTCTAGTAAGAAGGTATGTTTGGAGCGTATGTTTCAGTGTCTGTTGTTGTCACCTTCCACATAAGACCACTGACAGAAACTTGCTGAAGTGAAAGGTGACTCTATGTTTAGTCTCCTTTGCCCACAGTGTACCACATGAAGAAAGATGGTTGGGTGAAAGTGGAAAGCACAGACGTCAGTGACCTGCTGCACCAGTACCGGGAGGCCTGGCAGTAATGGCGGCTGCTGGACACGCCTTCTCTGGCAAAGCCTGGCTGACTCAGGGTCCAGGCCAGCTTACACCCCACAGGAAAGAGGGGCCTAACCTGAGCTCTGTAGGAGATAACCACTGGCCAGTGGGGGCAGGGGGGATTTTACCCCATTGAGAGTTCTCTGTTTCAGGGATCATTCCCCTTTCCCAGCCTCTGGTTGCTCCACTAAACACAATAAAGGAAAATGGTTATAAATGCCTGTTTTGTGGGCCAGTGGGCTTGAGGCTGGGGTTGTTGGGAAGAGGGGGCAGGAAATAGAGAAGCTTTCCCTGAGAAGAGACTCAAGCCCCCACCTAACAAATGGGGCTTCACCAAATATTTCTCTTGGGTTTTCCTTCCACATTCCTTTCTCCATGCCCCCAGGAAGACGATCATTGTCTGTGGACACATATTTGCCATTTAATTTGGGTTAGGATCCTTGGATCCTTTTTCACAGGGACGCAACCTGAAGACTCCTGTGTGGCCCACTGTTAATGGTTTGGGTGTCTGGGAGTAGGCTACTACAATAACTGTTTTTGACTTTGTGAAGTTAGATGAAAAAGCTTCCACCTCGTGTGTATATGGTGATTGTAAACATGGTGCCATTTACCTCAAACAACACTTCAGAGATACTGAATATTGAATGCAAAGATGGACACTAGGGGCTCCATTTCATGATGGGTCATGCTCAATTGGAAGAAGACAGGACCATGACTGAAGAGGAAAAGGATTCTCCGAAGAGGGGAATATGAAGGAAAAATAAGGAGGATAGAAATATGAGACAGACATGATGAGATTTTCTGAGTCATGCTGGAGCTGCATGTCACGGAGGATGTCCCCTCTTAAGGAGTTAGTCAAAGGACAAACTTGAAAGTAGGAAGTAGCTGATCAGGGAGCTTTTGTTCATTAGGGAGAGATCCTTAAAATCCCATAATGGCAAGGTTGGAATGATTTCAGTAATCCCCTACTTCAAATCCCTGATCCCTCCTTAAATAAAAGTGCCTGAGGACGCCTGGGTGACTCAGTCGATTGAGCCTCCAACTTTAGCTCAGGTCATGATCTTGCAGTTCATGGGTTTGAGCCCTGCATCCAGCTCTGTGCTGACAGCTCGGACCCTGGAGCCTGCTTCAGATTTTGTGTCTCCCTCTCTCTCTGCCCCTCCCCTTTTCATGCTCTGTCTCTCTCTTTCTCTCAAAAATAAATAAACATAAAAAAAAAAAAAAACAACTAGAAGTGCCTCATTGGTAAACCCCAGTAACAAAGGGGTAGTTTGGAACTCAAGTGATCCTTCCTTTGGGGATATTTTGAGTTTGGGAGGTAGTTTCAATCTGAAGAGTTATATTTGGAATAAACAACCTTGCATTTTCCATAGATGGGCTCTTAAAATAACGTTTATGATGGGGCGCCTGGGTGGCTTAGTCGGTTAAGCGTCCGACTTTCGCTTAGGTCATGATGTCGCGGTTCGTGGTTCGAGCCCCGCGTCGGGCTCTGTGCTGACTGCCAGCTCAGAGCCTGGAGCCTGTTTCAGAGTCTGTGACTCCCTCTCTCTCTGACCCTCCCCTGCTCACGCTGTCTCTCTCTCTCGTCTAGAAATAAATAAAAATATTTAAAAAAATTTAAAAAATAACGTTTATGCTTAATCACTGTTAAAATAGACCAGGAAAAAAGTCCATGTTCCTCATATGCCAAAGGTGCTCCCAACATAATTTGAAACGCAAATGCAGAGGCATGTGAACAAGTGCTCTGTGCAAGGTGCTGTGTTGAGGGGGACAGATGAAAATAAAGAATCCCGGCCCTTTAGCTCAAAATCTGGTTAAGTGAAAACTCACTTAGGTCTTGGTGATAGTGTCTGGAATCTTCTTTTTAGGAGAGGTCCTGAGTGTTTTTCGCTCAGAATCTGGCTCTGTTTTGATCCCAGACCATAAAACTGGAGCTTGGATGGAGGAAGAGGCAGATCTCAAAATAGGACCAGAGCCTGAGGGAGTAAGAGCTTGAGGCGAGAAAATCTAGTGGTTCTCCAGTTACAAAGCATCTCAATTCTTGAAATAGCTTTATTTTACTTAATGACGATTTAAAACACTTGCAGCAGTTTTCTGTTCCAGAGTAACTGTTGCTAAGGGCAGGCGGCTCACTGCCAGGCCCGGCGAGTCCTCGCTCGGCTCCACACGGCGCCCCGCGGTCGGCAGGGGTCGCGCGCACCCCGCTGGTGCTGGCGGCGCTGCCCGGAACCGGGCTGGGTCCGGGAAGAGAAAGCGAAAGCGGCGGGCGCCGGGACTCCCCAGTTCTCAGGGCGTCGCGGGCAGACAGGACCGGGGAAACGAAGGTGAGCCTGGGCGAGCGGATTTCAGAGCTCGGGGCTCAGCACGTAGCAGAAAGCGCTCCGGAGCCTCAGTCCCGAAGCCGCCTCCGGTGAGTTCCTGGGCCCGGAGCCTGGAGCTTTAACGGACGCCTCCCAGCCCATCACCCGCTCCGCGCCCCTTGCTTTCTGGACCCCGGAGAGTGCAAGGGAGCCGGGCGGGGACCGCAGGGAGGCTCTTCGGAACTCGGCTGCGGCGGGCGGGTGGGGGCTCGGGAGAGGGGGTCACGGGACTTTTTTTTTTTTTTAAGGATGAGGCTCCCTCTGCCCGGCAGAATGTCTTGTATGGTAGGAGGGAGGTAGTGATGGGCACCGGGGCCCCAGGGGATCTTTCAGGGTAGAGATGGGTAAAATGAGAACCCGGTGGACGGTTTGGCCCAGCCGGGGTGGTGAGGATAGGGGCAACGATTGGGACCCCACCTCTGTAATTCTTCATCTTGCGCCCGTAGATAGCACCATGCGCTTCTCTGGCCTGAGACCCTGGGCCTTCCTGCTGTTGGCCGACTTGGCTCTCCTCCGGCTGCTTCAGGGGACTCTGGCAAGTCTGCTTCCCCGAGGGCTTCCGGGCCTGTGGCTGGAGGGGACCCTGCGACTCGGAGGGCTCTGGTGGCTGCTACAGGTGGGAGGACTACTGGGACTGGTGAGAACACTGCTCCCCCCGCTCTGCCTGGTGACCCCGCTGTTCCTCTCCCTGAGGGCCCTGGTCCCAGGTGCCTCGAGCGCTCCCCCAGTCAGAGTGGCTTCCGCCCCCTGGAGCTGGCTGCTGTTGGAGTACGGGGCTGCCGGGCTAAGCTGGACCGTGTGGGCGCTGCTGAGAGCTCCAGGAGCCCAGGAGAGGGGGCAGGGCCAGGAGAACCACACAGACTTGATGTGGAAGCTGCTGAAGCTCTCCAGGCCAGACCTGCCTCTCCTCCTCTTGGCCTTCTTCTTCCTTGGTGGTGCCGTGTGGGGTGAGTCAGGAGGGCATCGTGATTTGGGGGGTGGGCAAAGGCCCTTGGGGCAGGCACATTTATCTGTTCTCCTTTGTGCCTCTTTCAGGGGAGACATGGATCCCTTACTATACTGGTCGTGTCATTGACATTCTGGGAGGTGATTTCAAGCCTGATGCCTTTGCCAATGCCATCTTTTCCATGTGCCTCATATCCATTGCGAGGTAGGTGATGTTTGACTGGTCCATCTGGTAGTCCCACGCCTTTACAGGGACCCTCCATTTCCCAACTCTGTTTTCAGATCCTTTTGTTCACAAAGCATAAAATAGTTAAACTAAAACATGCACGTGTTTATTCACCATTCTGTTTCACACACCCATTTACTCAACCCAACATTATATTTACCCAACATTATACTTCCATTTCATACTCACTACTCTTTGCTGAAACCAGTGACTGTGACTCAAAAGTACTTATTGATCAAGCCACTGCTTTCTTTTCTTTTTTAAATCAGTCCTCTATTCTTTGTTTCTTTGTAGCATTTGGTATTAGAGTAATGTCTTATTATTGATCTCTTTCTGTGGTTAGCTTTTATAAACTCCCTTTCTACTTCCCAATTCACTCTACCTCCTCTAGAGAACTTTTCTCCTTTGCTGGACCCTCAAATATAGTCTCTCCTTATGACTCAGTTCTTTGATTTTAAGAACATGTTTTCCTCTTGGGCTAGCTCAGCTCATCTGTACAGGTGACTCCCAGATCCATATTTCTACACCCAGCCCCAGTCTTATAATCTGGTTGCCTCCCTGTCGTTTCCATTGGGTAACCCCCTCTCATCTCACACTCCACATACCCAGAGCTCAAAATGTATCATACTCCCTCCTGGTCTTCTTGAAAGTGGCTCCCTCTTCTTATTCCCATTTATGAAATGATCAATTTCCTAGGCTCCAAGCAACAGTATCGTTGATGCCTTTCTAATGTTCAGACACTAGCCCAATCACTCTCTGCTTTCACAGTGTTTTTCCTGTGGCTTTTTCCTATCCATTCTCACTGTGATCGCCAGAATTCAGACCTTCCTCATTTTATATCCGACTACCCCAGTAGCCTTCTAAACAGGGTAACTAGGTTTGTATTAGATGCCATATTTTGTGAGGTACTTGCTTCTATGCTTTCACATTTTTCCTTTAAGTTTTGTTGTAAAAATGGTTGGCCTAAGAGAAATTTTAAACACCAGGGACAGGAGAGGTGAGGGGACAGCATGACTCCGGGGCTCCAGAGAATGGGAGGGCAAGGGAGTTCATTGCTGTGGTTCCCACAGTAAAGTATGTGGGACGAGGAAGAAAGACTTCAGAGTGGGGAGGAAAGAGACCAAGACAGAGGGGAAGGCTGGAGGGACAGCACCGAAGGAGGCCAGGTCAGAAGCAAGTCATAGGCTATTTCTCTTGACAACATCTCTTCATTGCTGTTATAGTTTCCCCTTGTGTCTTGCATGGATTGAACCCCATAAATACTCATGCATTTGTATGTGTTATGATTTTGTTTCCATGTCTAGCTCACTGTGCCCTGTTTTTTGTTCCTCTGTTTATTCCTGCCCTTCCCCTTGTCTCCCTTTCTGTTTATCTTCTGCCTTTTGTGGTACACTTTCTCCAACCTGTGTTTCTTGTCATTCCATCTTCTCTCTTCTGCTTCCCTCACTCGTTCCCTCCTTCCCTGCATCCGTTTCCCATTCATCCCCCTTCTCCTCCCTACCCCACAGTTCACTGTGTGCAGGCTCCCGAGGAGGCTTCTTCACCTTCACTCAGTCCAGTATCAACGTGCGGGTCAGGGAGCAGCTTTTCTCCTCCCTGCTGCGCCAGGACCTCAGTTTCTTCCAGGAGACTAAGACAGGTGGGGCCTGGTGTCCAGGCGTGGTATTCCCCTGGACATTTTTTGCCCCTCAGTTACCACTGCCCCCCTTCCCCCCAAACACCCTTTCCTCCCACCTCCACCTGTGGGCCCACACAAGGAGCTGCTGTGCTCTCTTTGGGACTGAGTAGTGGGCTGGCTTCTACTGGTCTCTCTGCAACTGAGGGGGGTGTTTGGGCGAGGGGGCTGTGTCAATGGGGAGGATTGGGGGGTGTCTCTGGGGCTCTACCATTACATACCATTTCCTCATTGGCTCTGTCCTCCCCAGGGGAACTGAACTCAAGATTGAGCTTGGATACCAAAATGATGAGCAACTGGCTTGCTTTAAATGCCAATGTGTTCTTGCGAAGCCTGGTCAACGTGGTGGGGCTGTATAGCTTCATGCTCAGCCTGTCCCCTCGACTCACCCTCCTCTCTCTACTCGAGTTGCCTCTGGTAATAGCTGGTGAAAAGGTGTACAATGTCTGCCATCAGGTATGTGTGGCTGTTAGGGAATCTTCAGGGGGAGAAGAAAGCTCTCCCAAAGATCTTCTCTTCTCAGCCCCAAGAGCAGCAGTTCTGACAGGCTTCAGAAGGGCCCTGACCCTGGGACTTATATAAGTGTGTGTGTGTGTGTGTGTGTGTGTGTGTGTGTGTGTGTGAGACAGAGAGAGAAGGAGACAGGGAGGAGAGGGAGCATTTTTCTGGGGAGAGGATAAACTTCTTTTTTAAATTAAAAGTATTTTATTTATTTTTAAATAAATAGAGAGCACACTGAGAGAGCAGACAGAGGGGGACAGAGGATTAGAAGCAGGCTCCATACTGACAGCAGAGAGCCTGATGCGGGGCTCAACTCATGAACCATGAGACCATGACCTGAGCCGAAGTTAGACACTCAACCGACTGAGCACTCAGGCGCCCTGAGAAAGGATAACTTTTTATCAGATTCTCAAAGGAATCTATCCATACCTTCCCCACAAAAGATTAAAAATGCGGTCTTGGAGGGTTTTAGATAGAGTTTTCCCCTTTATAACTAGGAAAGGGAATTTGGATGGAGGGTGAAGAAAGTAGAGACACGCAGTCAGGAAGTCCTGAGTCTGAATATCAGCTCCACTTTCTCTCCTTTTAGAAAAATTGTGGTAAAGTATACATAACATAAAAGTTACCATTTTTAATATTTTAAATTATCCCATTTCAGCGGCATTAAGTGCATTCCACATTGCTATGCAACCGTCACCACCCTCCATCTCCAGAACTTTCTTCATCTTCCCAAGCTGAAACTCGGTACCTAGTAAATAATAACTCCCCGTTTCCTCTCCTCCCAGCCCCTGGCAATGACCGTTCTACTTTCTGTCTCTATGAATTTGATTACTCTAGATATCTCATACAAGAGGGATCGCATAGTAGTTGTCTTTTTGTGATTGGCTTATTTCATTTAGTGTAATGTCCTCCAGGTTCATTCATGTTGTAGAATGTGTCAGAATCTTCTTCCTTTTTAAGACTAAAAATACCACATTTTATTTATCTATTGCTGGACACTTGGGTAGCTTCCGCCTTTTGGCTGTAGGGAACAATGCTGCTGTGAACGTGGGTGTGCAGATATCTGTTTGAGCTCTGCATTCGGGGTTTTTTTTTTTTTTTTTTTTGGGGGGGTATATACCCAGCAGTAGAATCACTGGGTCATATGGTAACTCTACATTTAATTTTTTTTTAATTTTTGTGTTTATTTCTTATTGAGACAGAGAAAAACAGAGCGTGAGTGGGGAAGGGGCAGAGAGAGAGGAAGACACAGAATCCAAAGCAGGCTCCAGGCTCTGAGCTGTCAGCACAAAGCCTGATACGGGGCTTGAACCCACAAACTGTGAGGTCATGACCTGAGCTGAAGTTGGACACTTAGCTAACTGAGCCACCCAGGCGCCCCTCTACATTTAATATTTTGAAGAGCCGCCATATTGGTTTTCACAGTGCCTGCATCATTTTACATTTCCACTGGCAATACCCATAGGTTTCTATTTCTCCACATCCTGCTCCAGCGCTTGTTATCTTCTGTTTGTTTCTTCTTTATTACATGCCTCAGTACTTACTTATCATATAACTGGAAGTTTGTACCTTTTGACCATCTTCCTCTAATCAATCTCCCGCCCCTGCCTCTGGTCTCTGGTAACTGCAGATCTGATGATCTCTTTTTCTGAGAAAAAATTTTTTCTTTAGATTCCACATATAAATGACATCATATAGTATTTGTCTTTCTCTGTGTAAGCTCATTTTACTTAGCATAATGCCCTCAAGTTCCATCCATGTTGTCACAAATTTCAGGATTTTCTTCTTTTTTATGACTGAATAAAATTCTGTTGTATATGCAATGCGTAGCACCTTTTAAAAAATAAGGGCTGGGGAACCTGGGTGGCTCAGTGGGTTGCCGCCTACTACGGCTCAGGTCATGATCTCATGGTTTGTGAGTTCGAGCCCCACGGTGGGCTCTGCGCTGACAGCTCAGAGCCTGGAGCCTGCTTCAGATCCTGTGTCTCTCTGTTTCTCTACCCCTTCCCCACTCATTCTCTCTCTCTCTCTCTCAAAAATAAAAAACATTAAATTAAAAAAAATAATAATAAAAATAAGGGCCATCCTAATGGTTATGAAGTGATATCTCACCATGGTTTTGATTTGCATTTCCCTAATGACTGGTGGTGTTGAGCATCTTTTCATGTGCTTATTGGCCATTTTTATATATTTTGTGGAGAAATGTCTATTTAAGTCCTTTGCTCATTTTAAAAATTGGGTTGTGTTTTACTTGTTGAGTTGTAGGAGTTCTTTCAATATTCTGGAGATTAGCCCCTTATCGGATACATGATTTGAAAATGTTTTGTCCCATTCTGTGGGTTTCCTTTTCTCTCTCTGTTGATGGAGTCCTCTGATACACAAAAGTTTTTAATTTTGCTGAAGATCAAGTTATCTGTTTTTTCTTTTGTTGCTTGTGCTTTAGGTGTCATATCCAAGCAATTACCACCAAATCTAGTGTCCTGAAGATTTGTCTGTATGTTTTCTTCTAAGAGTTTTATGGTTTTAGCTCTGGTTTAGGTTTTTGATCCATTTTGAGTTACATCCCCACCTTTTGTTAACTAGCCATGGCCCCTTAGGAAAGCTACCCCATTTTTCATTCAGACACTGAGAGTGGTGTGGATTACCTTAAATGAAGGGGCAAAAATAGCCTGTATCTCCCATACTACCTAGCACTGAGAGCTTGGTAATATTTTGTTCCCTCCCTCTCTACTCTCATTAGTCCTTCTGGAAAGAAATGGAGGAAGAGGGAAAGAGGACAGTTTCATATTTTTAGGTGGATCAGCAGAGCATCCCAAGGGCAGGAATGAGACCTAGGGGTCTCCTGTCTTCTCTTAAGTCAGCCTCTTATGTCCCCTGCCCCGCTTTTCCAGGCAGTGCTCCAGCAGATCCAGAGCGCGGTGGCAAAAGCAGGGCAGGTGGTGCGAGAGGCAGTTGGAGGGCTGCAGACGGTGCGCAGTTTTGGGGCCGAGGAGCAGGAGACCTGTCTCTATAAGGAGGCCCTAGAGCAATGCCGGCAGCTGTGGTGGCGGCGAGACCTGGAACATATCCTTTTTGGGCTCTTCCAGAGGGTGAGAAGACTGCAGGGCAGAGGATGGAGGGGGAGGGGTGGGGGGTGGCGAGTGGGAGGAGGGGGTTGGGGCCTAAGGGAGTGAGAAGAGGTGGGGGTGCAGGGTAGGACTTAGGGAGGGGCAGGGAAAGCAATGGGAAACTTCCAACTCATCCTGGGGTCTGTGCTGTTCAATGTGGTAGGAATGGGGAGGGCAAAGAATGTGGACTCTTTCTCATTGGCTTTCTCTCTCTCTTTTTTAAAGTTTTTTTAAAAAAATTATTTAGAGAGAGAAAAAGAAAGAGAGCATGAGCAGGGAGCAGGAAAGGGGCAGAGAGAGAAAATTCCAAGCAGCAGGCTCTGCACTATCAGCGTGGGGCCAATTCGTAGCTTGAACCCACAAACCATGAAATCATGACCTGAGCCAAAATTAACAATCTGGCACTTAACAGACTGAGTCACTGAGACGCCCCTCTCAGTGCCTTTCTTTTCACCGTCTAGATGCTGTGTTTGGGAATGGAGGCGCTGCTGCTGTACCGCGGACTGCAGCAGATTCTGGCTGGGGACCTCACCCAGGGTGCGCTGGTCTCCTTTCTGCTCTACCAGAAGGTGGCAGCTGGTCAAGTGCATGTGAGTCAGGAACCTGTGCATACAAGTTTGTCCCCCTGTTTTTCTCTCTGGCCTCTGGGCCTTCAGCTTTATTTACTCCCCTTAAAAATACAAAACAAAACAAAACAAACCCCCAACTCATTGTGTTATGGAGAATTTCAAACATATGCAAAAAAAAAAAAAAAAAAGATAAGCTATGATTAACATGCATGCACCCTCACCTGCTTTAAAATTCTCAACTCCTGGCCAGGCTGTCCCCTCTGTACCCCCACCAATATTATTTTGAGGCAAATCGAAGATATAGTTTTATCTGTAAATGCTTCAGTATGTATCTCTAAATATCTCTATATTTACAAAATCTAAACACAAAGCCCTCATCACACACACACACACAAAGTCACAGTAATTCCTCAAATTCATGAAATACAGTGGTTTCATACAGGTGACATATGTGTATGTACTCATTTATTTCTCACTTGTGCATATGTGTGGGATGTCGGCCATGAATGCTCAGTGCCTAGACCCATTAAATTATTAGGGTTTGCAAAACGGTGACATGTTACCATTCTTCCACTTACTAGCCAGAATCCATCTATATGCAGGGAGACCTCCCGTCATCTACTCTTTGGTTACCCAGTGGCACAGGTTGAGTAGGAAAGGCAAAATAGCATTTAGTTCTTTCCTAATGTTTACTAGTTTTCAAAAAATAATTAGTTACTTGGTCTTGGTCTTTATTGTATAGTTTCTCTAGATATTTGTGAAACATCTTATATGTATGGAGAATTGGGCTAGGTACCCTGGTGGCTGTAAAGATGAGGTGGGCACCCCTGCCTTCTTTTAAGGAGCTCTCTATCTAGTTAGGCAAGACAGAAGTGTGTACAAGTGTACAGAACAGCAATTGGAAGATTCTGGGGATAGAAATAGTGCCATATGAGAGGGATATGACCTCTCCTTCCTTTCTATTACAAATTGGCACAACTGGGGTATTGGATTGCCTTTAAATTCCATCTGAATTATACATTTGAAGGTAGAGAATCCTCTTTGGATGAGGGAATGAGAGGCTTGGCCTGGGTGGGGTGTCTCAGGGGAGTATGTGAGGAGCTGGGGAGTTGGTTTCTGGTGAAGCTACATTTGGTTAGCTGACCCCTCCATTTCTGTTTTCCAGGCCCTGGTATACATATGTGGAGATATGCTCTGCAACATAGGGGCTGCTGAGAAGGTTTTCCAATATTTGGACCGAGAGCCAAATATGCCTCCTTCGGGGACACTGGCCCCATCAACTCTGCAGGGGCTTGTGGAATTCCAAGATGTCTCCTTTGCATATCCCAACTGCCCTGACCAGCCTGTGCTCAAGGTGTCTGAAAGGGGCCAGAGGGAGGGAACTTGGACCCCTCGTGCCCAGGGAGCAGGGCCTGTAGACTAGTTGCCTCTGAGAAGTTGATCGTACCTCTGAAAGAAAGAGAAGGGGAGGGTCCAGAGGCAAACCTAATTGTTTCTTGGCTTTTGTAGGGGCTGACATTCACCTTACGTCCTGGTCAGATGACTGCACTGGTGGGGCCCAATGGGTCTGGAAAGAGCACAGTGGCTGCCCTGCTGCAGAATCTGTATCAGCCCACTAACGGGCAGGTGCTGCTGGATGGGAGGCCCATCTCCGAGTATGAACACTGCTACCTGCACCAGCAGGTGGGTGTGGAGGGAGAAATGGGTTAGGAGGAGATAGGAGGGAAGGACCATGTGCAGAGAGCATGAGAGATCCATGGAAGAAACACAAGGAGCCCATTCTTATTTTTGAATATTCTTTAAAAGTTTATTTATTTATTTGGAGAGAGAGAGAGAGAAAGAGAGAGGGAGAGAGAGAGAGAGAGAAAGAGAGAGGGAGAGAGAGAGAGAAAGAGAGAGGGAGAGAGAGAGAGTGAATGGGGGCAGAGCAGAGAGAGAGAGGGAGAGAGAGAGAATCCCAAGCAGGCTCCATGTTGTCAGTGGAACCCAACTCGGGGCTCGATCTCCTGAACTGTGAGATCATGATCTGAGCCGAAATCAAGAGTCAGACTCTTAACCAACTGAGCCATCCAGGTGCCTCACTAAGAGTCCATCCAAAGGGAGATAGACAAGGAGGTAAGGAGGATCCCTGCCATGGGGTTTACACACAACCCTGTGCTCGCATTGCCTCTGCACAGGTGGCTTCTGTTGGGCAAGAGCCTGTGCTCTTCTCGGGTTCTGTGAGGGACAACATTGTTTACGGGCTGAAGAGCTGTGATGATGAGAAGGTGGTGGCTGCTGCCCGCAGTGCCAGTGCAGAGGGGTTCATACAGGAGATGGAGCATGGACTGGATTCAGGTACCTTCAGTCTGAAGAAAAACGAGCTTATTCTTGGAGGTGTGGGTTGTGTCCCCGCAGCTCCGTGTCTGGTGTTGTTTGGCTCTGACTTCTCCTTCCCCAACACCAGGAGTTCTTTAGTTGCCCATCCTGTCCGGGAGTCTTTGTTCCCAACAGCCAGTGGAAGTAGTTTTCTGTGAGGGCAGCCCCTGCAAGTCCTCACACCAGCTCTCCTACCCCTTGATTCATCCTAGGGGAAACCCCAGTTGTACACTTGCTCCGGCTCCTAGGGAGGATGTTGTCATGGCCATTGGTATCTGAAGAGAGGGATTTCTCTGTTTCTTCAGATGTAGGGGAGAAAGGGAACCAGTTGGCTGTGGGACAGAAACAATGTCTGGCTATCGCTCGGGCACTTGTGCGGGACCCTCGAGTCCTCATCCTGGATGAAGCCACCAGCGCCCTGGACGTCCAGTGTGAGCAGGCCGTAAGTACTGGTGTGGGAGGGCGGGACAGCGGGACCTGAGGGGGCATGTTTGAAGGACCAGCCTACGCAGAATTGGGCGGATGAGTCTCTGTGCCTTTTCGGGGCGCGGGGAATGGAATGGAGAATACCGTGTGTGGGAACACGCCGTCTTTCTCCACAGTTCCCTTTTCTATCCACCCCCTGCAGTAGGACAGCTGAGAGGGAAGGGCAGTGCAGACTTGACTTTGCACTTGTTCCAACTTTCTGGTCTTCCGTGCCTTTTTCACCCTATGCCACAACAGATGGTGCCCAATTGGGATGTGGTGCCCATTCTATTCTTACCTTTCTGAGATGTTGTGACCCTCCCCCTTAGCTGCAGGACTGGAGATCCCACGGGGACCGAACGGTGCTGGTGATCACGCACAGGCTGCAGACCGTGCAGAGTGCAGACCAGATCCTGGTGCTCAGGCAGGGAGAGCTGCTGAAGAACACTCAGCTTGCCGAGGGGCAGGACCTCTATTTCCACCTGCTGCAAATGCAACCAGAGGACTGAGGCCCCAGGACGCCAGGCTCTTCTCATGGCCACCTCCATGACTCAGAGCAGTTCGTGCTTTCAGTTTTCCTGGGCTCTGTCCCTGGGTAGTCCTTCCGAGGGCTGGTGGCATGCTGGAAGTTTGGGCCACGTGTGCTCTTATTGTGACTGGGAGTTGGGGGGCTTATCTGTGACCAAGCGTCTCATTTCTCTAGTGCTGAGTAGTGTATTGTGACATAATACATCTATTTAAAAATTGTTTCCTTACTATGTAAATGGCACATATTCGCAAAACTAACCCTTGTTTCACTTTCCAGAGGTAACCAAGGTGACTGTTTTGCCAGCTATCCTATCAGTGTCTTATCTGTTCTTTGAGATAAATATTAGCTAATATTTGCCAATGAGATAAATATTCACCAGGTTACCTCTCTGTATCTTTCTCCATTCTCACTGATGTCTGTACGGTATGGGGTGGCGGTAGAGCACACTTCCCTAATTAACAGTGTTAATGAGACATTGATAATATCTACCATTTATTAGAGTTTTAATATAAATAGGAAGTATGCTCAATGTTTTTCGGGTATTATCATATTTAGTCCTTTTCCTCTCAACCCTATGAGGTTGGTTATTATTATCCCCATCTTACAGATGAAGAAACTGAGTCTCAAAGAGATTAAATAACTTTTCTAAGGTTATACAGTGGTGGAGTTGAGTTGAATCCAGGTCTGATCCCTGAGTCCACAATCTCAATGAACAAATTATATCCTGTGTTCATAATCTTGAATTCATAATCAGATCAGGTAAATAGCTCTGAATCCACTATCTCTCTCTAGTCCCCTTGTTATTATAACTTGCACTTAGTCTTACGGGCATCTGGATGGCTCAGTCATCTGAACATCCAACTGTGGATCTCAGCCCAGGTCATGATCTTATGGTTTCGTAGGTTTGAGCACCGCATCAGCCTCTGTGCTGACAGTGCGGAGCCTGCTTGGAATTCTTCCTTTCTCTCTGTCCCTCTCCTGCTCGAGCTTTCTCTGTCCTCTCTCAAAATAAATAATTAAATAAGAACAAACAAACAAACAATTTTCATTTAGTCTTAGATGATTTCATCACCAAAGAAGTTTCCCCACCATTGGTTCATCTCCTTCAGCCATTCTTCATGAAGTCACTGTTTCCCTAGCAGACATATAGGGTGATGTCACTTCTGTAAAGTTATTCAAGTGATCTTCATTCCTTTCTCCTCAGATCTTTCTCAGAGCATGCAAGGTTGTCCAGCCCATTTATAGCCCCATTTCCTATTGCATTAAGCTCCAGCCACAGCTAACTTCCTGCCCTCCTAATGTCTTTGTGCCTTTGCATATGGTGTGTTCTTGCCATTCCCTGAACCACCCTCCCAATTTCCCCCAAGTTCCTCCAGATTTAACTCAGGGGTCAGGTCTTTCAGGAAGACTTTCCTCATCTCCTTAGTCTGGAGAAAGCGCTTTTGTTGGTGCAGAACTTACCTCTTTCACAGCCTTTATTAAACTCTATCCTCTGACCCCTTTATTCTTCCACTAGACTGTGAACTTCTGGGTGGAAGGCCGTATTTCTTATTAAGCTTCCTATTGACTACCTGGCACATAGTAGACAATGAGCAAATGTCTGTTGCACAAATGAGTAAATCTCAGTTCTCCCTACACATGCCAACCACTGAAATTTCAAAGCCGTGTACACTAATGCCTTTTGGGAAGGGCTTACCTTTGAAGGTTCCTATTCTAGGAAAGAGAAACTTTCACATTTCCAGAAACAGCAGGTACTTTCCAGCTCAAGGAAGTCTACTGTTCTGGATTTTTTTTTTTTTTTTTTTTTTTGCCTGGCAACTGTTGGGAACAGGGTGGGGTGAAAGTAAGTAGTTTCTTATGCAGATAAACCTTTGTGTCATTCTGCTTCATTTGTTTGTGTCTCGAATATCATTGAACATGAAATACCCGTTTGGAGGGAGACGAATCTGGCCTGATTCCTTTCTTCCTCTATTTATACAATGGGAATAATAATTCCTGTATCTCCCAACCTTATGGAAACTGCTGCCTTCATGGAAGAACATGGTCTGTTAAAATTCTTTAAATCTTCACTATAACAATACCCATAGACTCCTAATACTTTAAGCCTGAAAGGATCTTAAAAATAACTAGCAGCCAAATTTTATTTTACAGAAAGGGAAACCAGCCTGAAATCACACAGCTACTCAGTGATTGAGCTGGGAAGAAAACTCAGGCATCCAGATGGGCAGTTCGGAAAGATGTATCAGACCTTAGGATCTTAGGATATCTAGAAAGATGGTTATCTTAAGGAAACTCCCAGGTAGGCCTGATGTCAGGGACACATTCTGAAAATGTCCCTGGCGGTCAAAGTGTGGAACTTAGGCAAATGCCTGCAAGTGTGGTCTGCCTGGTAACCACAGATATTATTAATTCTGGTCTGTTCCTGAGTTCTAATTATCTTTTTTTTAATTAACTAATTAATTATTTTATTTACATCCAAGTTAGTTAGCATATAGTGCAACAATGATTTCAGGAATAGATTCCTTAATGCCCCTTACCCATATAGTCTATCCCCCTCCCACAACCCTTCAAGCAACTCTGTTTGTTCTCCATATTTAAGAGTCTCTTATGTTTTGTGTCCCTCCCTGTTTTCATATTATTTTTGCTTCCCTTCTCTTATGTTCATCTGTTTTGTATCTTTTTTTTATAGTTTATTGTCATGTTGGTTTCCATATACCACCCAGTGCTCATCCCAACAAGTGCCCTCCTCCATGTCCATAACCTATTTTGCCCTCTCCCCCACCCCCATCAACCCTCAGTTTTCAGTATTTAAGAATCTCTTATGGTTTCCCTCCCTCCCTCTACTTAACTATTTTTTCCCCTTCCTCACCCCCATGGTCCTCTGTTAAGTTTCTCCTGTTCCACATTTCAGTGAAAACATATGGTATCTGTCCTTCTCTGCCTGACTTATTTCACTTAGCATAACACCCTCAGAGTTCCATCCACGTTGCTACAAATGGCCAGATTTCATTCTTTCTCATTGCCATGTAGTATTCCGTTGTATAGATAAACCACATCTTCTTGATCCATTCGTCAGTTGATGGACATTTAGGCTGTTTCCATGATTTGGCTATTGTTGAAAGTGCTGCTATGAACGTTGGGGTTCATGGGCCCCTATGCATCAACACTCCCGTATCCCTTGGGTAAATTCCTAGCAGTGCTACTGCTGGGTCATAGGGGAGTTCTATTGTTAGTTTTTTGAGGAATCTCCACATGTTTTCCAGAGGAGTTGCACCAGTTTACATTCCCACCAACAGTGTAGGAGGGTGCCCATTTTCCCACATCCTCGCCAGCGTCTACAGTCTCTGATTTGTTGATTTTAGCCACTCTGACTGGCATGAGGTGGTATCTCAGTGTGGTTTTGATTTGTATTTCCCTGATGATGAGTGATGTTGAGCATCGTTTCATGTGTCTATTGGCCATCTGGATGTCCTCTTTGGAGAAGCGTCTGTTCATGCCTTCTGCCCATCTCTTCACTGGAATGTTTGATTTTGGGTGTGGAGTTTGGTGAGTTCTTTATAGATTTTGGATACTAGCCCTTTATCCGATATGTCATTTGCAACTATCTTTTCCCATTCCATCTGTTCCCTATTAGTTTTATTGATTGTTTCCTTTGCCGTGCAGAAGCTTTTCATCTTGATGAGGTCCCAATAGTTCATTTTTGCTCTTGATTCCCTTGCTTTGGGGGATGTGTCAAGTAAGAAGTTGCTGCGGTGGAAGTCGAGGAGGTTGTTTCCTGCTTTCTTCTCTAGGGTTTTGATGGTTTCCTGTCTCACATTCAGGTCCTTCATCCATTTTGAGTTTATTTTTGTGTATGGTGTAAGAAAGTGATCTAGTTTCATTCTTCTGCATGTTGCTGTCCATTTCTCCCAGCACCATCTGTTAGAGAGGCTGTCTTTTTTTCCATTGGATACTCTTGCCAGCTTTGTCAAAGATTAATTGGCCATACATTTGTGGGTCCAATTCTGGGTTCTCTATTCTATTCCATTGGTCTATGTGTCTGTTTTTGTGCTAATACCATACTGTCTTGATGATTATAGCTTTGTAGTAGAGGCTAAAGTCTTGGATTGTGATGCCTCCCGTTTTGGTTTCTTCTTCAATATTACTTTGGCTACTCGAGGTCCCTTGTGGTTCCATACAAATTTTAGGATAGTTTGTTCTAGCTTTGAGAAGAATGCTGATACAATTTTGATTGGGATTGCATTGAATGTGTAGATTGCTTTGGGTAGTTATGACATTTTAACAATATTTATCCTTCCGATTTATGAGCATGGATTGTTTTTCCATTTCTTTGTGACATCTTCAATTTCCTTCATAAGTTTTCTATAGTTTTCATCATACAGATCTCCTCTATCTTTGGTTCGGTTTATTGCTAGGTACTTTATGGTTTTTTGTGCAATTGTGAATGGGATCAGTTTCCTGATATCTCTTTCTGTTAATTCATTATTGGTGTATAAAAATGGAACAGATTTCTGTACGTTGATTTTGTACCTTGCGACTTTGCTGAATTCATGAATCAGTTCTAGTAGGCTTCTGTTGGGGTCTGTCAGGTTTTCCATGTAGAATATCATGTCGTCTGCGAAAAGTGAAAGTTTGACTTCTTTACCAATTCTGATACCTTTGATTTCCTTTTGTGGTCTGATTGCTGATGCTAGGACTTCCAGCACTATGTTAAACAACAGTGGTGAGAGTGGACATCCCTGTCGTATTCCTGATTTCAGGAGCAAAGCTCTCAGTTTTTCCCCATTGAGGATGTCTTTCTCTGACTGACTAATTTCACTTAGCAGAATACCCTCCAGTTCCATCCATGTAGTTACAAATGGCAAGGTTTCATTCTTTTTGATTGCTGAGTAACACTCCAGTGAATATATATACCACATCCCCCACATCTTCTTTATCCATTCGTCCATCCATGGACATTTGGCTCTTTCCATACTTTGGCTATTGTTGATAGTGCTGCTATAAACATTGGGGTGTGTGTGCCCCTTTGAAACAGCATACCTGTATCCCTTGGATAAGTACCTAGTAGTGCAATTTCTGGGCCATAGGGTAGTTCTATTTTTAATTTTGTGAGGAACCTCCATACTGTTTTCCAGAGTGGTTGCACCAGTTTGCATTCTCAAAAACAGTGCAAAAGAGATGCTCTTTCTCCCCATCCTTGCCAAAACCTTTTGTTGCCTGAGTTGTTAATGTTAGCCATTCTGACAGGTGTGAGGTGGAATCTCATTACGGTTTTTATTTGTATTTGCTTGATGATGAGTGATGTTGAACATTTTTCATGTGTTGTTAAGCCATCTGGATGTCTTCTTTGGAGAAGTGTCTATTCATGTCTTTTGCCCATTTATCCACTGGATTGTTTGTTTTTTGGATGTTGAGTTTGATAAATTATTTATAGATTTTGGATATTAACCCTTTATCTGATATGTCATTTGCAAATATCTTCTCCCATTCCACTGGCTGCGTTTTAGTTTTGCTGATTGTTTGCTGTGC